GCATGTGCCAGGCATACTTCCAATTGCCAAAGTAAAATCGACTTGATAAATGATTGATTAATTAACTTACTATCTCTTAGAGGAACACAGATTGCATTTGAACTGCAGTATACTGTACATGTGTTTAATAGCCTAAAATTTACACATACTTTTTATTGCTTTTAATGTATATTTAATCATTTCAAATCCTGTCAGAGCACTTATCAGAAAGTAACTGTGTGCAATGCCTTTTTTTTTTTTTTTTTTTTTTTTTTGAGACGGAGTTTCGCTCTTGTTACCCAGGCTGGAGTGCAATGGCGCGATCTCGGCTCACCGCAACCTCCGCCTCCTGGGCTCAGGCAATTCTCCTGCCTCAGCCTCCTAAGTAGCTGGGATTACAGGCATGCGCCACCATGCCCAGCTAATTTTTTTTTTTTTTGTATTTTTAGTAGAGACGGGGTTTCACCATGTTGACCAGGATGGTCTCGATCTCTCGACCTCATGATCCACCCGCCTCGGCCTCCCAAAGTGCTGGGATTACAGGCTTGAGCCACCGCGCCCGGCCCAATGCCTTTTTATTATCTTAGCTTCTCACTTTCATTCCTTGTTTCTTTTAAAATTTGCTTTTTATTATGGCAAATTAAATGTAACACAAAATTGATCACTTAAATGATTTTTAAGGGTTCAATGAAGTGGCTTTAATTATATTCACAATGTTTTGTGACCATTACCACTATCCACTTTTTTTTTTTTGAGACAGAGTCTCACTCTGTTGTCCTGGCTGGATAGCAGTGGCACGATCAACTCACTGTAACCTTCAACTCCTGGGCTCAAGGAGATCTTCACACCTCAGCCTCCAGAGTAGCTGGGTCTACAGGTGTGGACTACCACATCCAGCTAATTTTGTTTTGTTGGAGACAGAGTTTCACTATGTTGCAGCAGGCTGGTCTTGAACTCTTGAGCTCAAGCGATCCTCCAGCCTCAGCCTCCCAAAGTGCTGGGATTACAGGCATAAGCCACTGTATCTAGATACTACACTCTATTTCTGAAACATTTTTATCACCCATCTCTGTAACCATTGAGGAATCAGTCCCCATTTTCCTTTCCTCATCCCATTTTCTATTCCTAATCAATGACCCATTTTTTATACATCAAGTCAGATGGCAACTTCTTTGCTAAGCTGACACAATCAGTCACCTCTCTACTACTTCTTAATCCTGTACATATGTTTATTATTAAATTTGTCACCTCATTCTAGAACTGGGTTTATATCCTTTTGTCTGAACTATTTGAGGGCATGATTCCGGAAGCACAAACAATATGACAACTATGGTTAAAGATCTTTTTATTTTCCCTGCTAGCACAGTGCTTAGCACTGAGTAAGCACTCACTACATTTCTGTCCAGTTATAATGAAAAGTATTAACTGTGGCTTGGTATAGGAATTATTTGGCAGGTGTTGAGAAGGCTCTTTATGCTAAAAACACTCTCCACCTAGAATGTTTAAATAAATTTCATAATTTATGTTTATATACCCTAAGTTCTGAACATAAACTTGTATGATGTAAATAAAGCCTGGGAGAAATAATATGTATATTAGAATTGGTCATCAAAACCTTTAGTGTAAACTAATTTATCAGATTCTTTCTCCAAAGACAGGAATGAACAATTTAATTTTGAAGGTGGAGATGGAAAGAGGGATGGAATAATTGTGTGTAAAAAGTAGTACTTCCATGTACATATTCTATGTACTTGGGCATATGGGGAGAGATTGGGAGCTACTCAAAAATAATTCTTCTCACTTTATAATTTTCCAGGACTTGTAATGAACCTTATAAATGTTGTAATAATCTTCTTCTTTATATAGTCAAAAGCAAATGAAATCTCCCCATTAAACCTACTCGTAACTCTTAATTAGATCACTACTTTCAATAATTGCTCAAATAGAATATTAATTAACCTCTACTACAATGGATAAAAAGTAACTACATTAAAATATATGTCAGATGTGACAGTTAAAAAGGATTTTCAAAATGAGACTGGTAATAATTGAATATAATTATTAAAAGATTTAAGATGAGAGGGTCTACTAAGTACCATATTTTAAACTTGGCAAAACTTCTGAAGGTTAGAAAGAAGTAGGACTTTGCTTGAATGTTTTCTTTGTTTAAGGAATCAAGATTATTCACACCTTAAATTACTTCCATCAATCTTTTAAGTTGTCATTTGAAGGGAAAAATATCCCATTTCTTCTTCAAGTCTTGGAAGAAGGGAATATACAGTAAGAAAAATATTTCCTTAAATAGGTTTCTTGGGCTCCAGATTCCAATTGAATATTTTTATTAATTAAATGTACCAATTTTTCTGAAGCTTAGTGATTTATATGAAGGTACATTTTTTACCCATGTGGCTATATGACTTACATAAAAATCTATGTAAATAACATTTATTTATTCAAATAACCTTAAGTTATTTTAATCTGTGGCTCAAAATAAGCTAAAAGATTATGGTCATCAATAGAAAAATGTCTCAGCATGAACAGAAGTATCACTAATCTATCTGAAATGGAAAAAGAACCACTGAATTATTTCGGTTTGGCATATATATTCAACAGGACTGAATTAAACTTTGGAACTACTTCCTCTTAGATAAAGAATAAAGAGCCGGGCGCGGTGGCTTAAGCCTGTAATCCCAGCACTTTGGGAGGCCGAGGCAGGTGGATCACGAGGTCAAGAGATCGAGACCATCCTGGTCAACATGGTGAAACCCTGTCTCTACTAAAAATACAAAACATTAGCTGGACATGTGGCGCATGCCTGTAATCCCAGCTACTCAGGAGGCTGAGGCAGGGGAACTGCCTGAACCCAGGAGGCGGAGGTTGCCGTGAGCCAAGATCATGCCATTGCATTCCAGCCTGGGTAATAAGAGCGAAACACTGTCTCAAAAAAAAAAAAAAAAAAAAGAATAAAGAGCAAATGAAATAACTTCTTTTGAGGTGTGGAAACATATGATCCCCAAATGTACTTAATATTTGAGACTTTCATAAATTGGCATAACTGCAAGTTTATAGCACAACTATATTAAGATTATAACTTAGAAATCCTATTATATTTTAAATACACTGTCTAAATTATTTCTCAATTTATGACATGGTACCATAAGAAGAGGGGGAAATCCACTGATAAAAATAGTAAGCTACATATTAAAATAAAAATTTTATTTTGACCAGTAAGTCCTGAAATCAATATCAGAAACTCAGCAGCCAGTACTTTCTGCCCTGAGGGGGTGGAAGAAAGATAAGAATGGCAAGAAGGGGAAGTGCCTTACATAATTCAACAATGACTGATTCTGCAAAGTAAGAAATGGTTTGAACTGACTCCAAAAACAAAGGAATCCTATTTTAATCTCTTAGCTACAAATGTTATATTACTTTTAGAAAGATTAAAAAGAAAATGGGAATAGCTGACCATAACATTTTAAAATACACATAAGCTATTTTATCAAAGTGAGACAAAATTTTTATAAAATCTTTCAGTTATAACACTGACATTTACATTTACATGATTCATTAGAAAGTGTTGAAGTTTATATTGTCGACATGTTGTTTATACAGATCTATGCAAGAGTTTTTGGTTCTTTTTTTTGACAGAGTCTCACTCTATTGCCCAGGCTGGAGTGCAGTGGTGTAGTCTCGGCTCACTGCAACCTCCGCCTCCCGGGTTCAAGCGATTCTCTTGCCTCAGCCTCCTGAGTAGCTGGGACAACAGGTGCGTGCCACCGCACCTGGCTACCTTTTGTATTTTTAGTAGAGAGGGGCTTTCACCGTGTTGGTGAGGCTGGTCTTGAACTCCTGACCTTGTGCCTGACCTTGCGCCACTGCGCCTGACCAGATCTATGAATGCCATCTGAATATTCCCATGAACGGTTAAGATTTTCTCTCAACAGACACCTGAATACCAAATAGAGAGAATATACATACTTTAGGCACTAGAGAAAAATGTTAAGATTCCTCTGATTCTCCTCATTTAAATGAGACATGACATAAAAAATTAAGTATACATAAAAATACATGCTTTCAAAATATCAGCTCTAAAGCTTATTCACATTTAGTGTAAGTTATGAATTAATATTTCCATAAAGAGTTGGAAAAACTTGGCCGGGCATGGTGGCTCATGCCTATAATCCCAGCACTTTGGGAGGCTGAGGCAGGTAGATCATTAAGTGAAGCGATTGAGACCATCAAGGCCAACATGGTGAAACCCCATCTCTACTAAAAATACAAAAATTAGCTGGGTGTGGTGGTGTGTGCCTGTAGTCCCAGCTACTCAGGAGGCTGAGGCAGGAGAATTGCTTGAACCTAGGAGGTGGAGGTTGCAGTGAGCCCAGATGATGCCACTGACTGCACTCAAGCCTGGCCGCAGAACGAGACTCCGTCTCAAAAAAAAAAAAAAAAAAGCGTTGGAAAAGCTTAAGTAAATGAGTTTACATAAAAATAATTTCCAGAAATAATATTAAACTTTACAAATAATTTAAACATGAATTTAAAAGGGTATAAAGGATTAAATGAGATAATACATGTACAGCACTAAATAAGTGTCTAGCACATAGCTAACTTAATGACTGTTTACCATTATTTTACTATACACCCTTCTTCAAAATATGTCCACCCAAACTGTCAAACAGACTGGGTTCCACATTTTTAGGGAGTGTACCTTGTTTTTAATTTTTATCAAGTTTTGAAAGCTAATCATATATATTCTCACTTTTCCATCATAAAATTATCATAATGGGCTATGAATCACACTGTATAAAACAACAAAAACTTTCCTAAAATATGTTTGCATGTCCGGTGCTTGTTAAGAAAAACAACAAATAAAAATAACCTAAATTGTTCTTCTTTTGACATTTAAAGACACAAAAAAGAAAGTCTCCTAGGTTGATCCTTCTGAAGATCAATGACATTAATAAGTGCTATTTTAATCATGTAAAATGTTAAAAGATAAAGCATACAAGTCAACTTACTTGATGAAGATCATTTCCCAACGCATATTCTGCAAAGTAGCCTGGAGCAGCAGATGAGGCTCTAATGGCCTGCCACATTTTGTACTGACAGCCTCCCAAATAATGAGAGTTGATTCCAGGAAAATGACCATAGTTTCTGAACACAAAAGCTTTTGGTGTTATCCCTCTATTTACTATGGTACTTACAGCAGCTACCTAGTGAATGAAAAAGTGAACAATTCCATCATAAACAGTAACATATTTGGGATCTGTAAAAACTAAATACTATTTAGCAGTATAAATGAACAATCTACAACTCTGTCAAATAAATGTGTAACACAAATAAAATGCTGAAAAAAGGTATTTTTAAACAGGCATTTTAACCAGGTCTTTTTAAACAGGCATTGCTTTATGAAATAATAAAGACTGAAGCAATTCTGAGAAATGTATTATAAAAGAATAAGAAAAGAGATGTATTTGAGCACACGATTTAATTAAAAAAGTATTTAAAAAGGCAAACATTTCTAGACCTTTATGTAATAACTGACAGAACAGCAGTAATGAATAAAAACTGCTTAAAGACTGCGTGCAGTGGCTCACGCCTGTAATCCCAGCACTTTGGGAGATTGAGGAGACTGGATTACTTGACGTAAGGAGTTAAGAGCAGCCTGCCCAAAATGGTGAAACCCCATCTCCACTCAAAATATAAAATTAGTCAGACATGATGGCGGGCACCTTCCAGTTACCTGAGAGGCTGAGGCAGGGGGATTGCTTGAACCAAGGAGGTGGAGACTGGAGTGAACTGAGATCACGTCACTGCACCCCAGACTGGGTAACAGAGTGGGACTCTGTCTCAAAAACAAAAAAAACCCAGCCACCCAAACAAAAAGAAAACTGCTTCAAGATAAGTACACTATTTTCATAATATCATTTACAAATTAGTCTTTGTTTCTAAGCTCTTTGAAAATATTCTGACTTCAATAAAAGTGAAATGTAGCACTATAAAATCAGTGCTTTCAGGTCACAATTATTAAAACCTGGTAGTTGGGTAATGTTTATTTAAAAAACTATAATGTCAACCATCTCAGTTCTCGAATTTTATCACTGTTGTTTGAATTTACATGAAATGTGCTGTTTTGTTAATGATCTGTAATAAAAACTTAAGAGGCTGACGGGTATTGATGAGGCCAAAGTTAGTGTCATGTGCCAAGTCCTGCCAATTGTTTTGATATTTAATAAACAAAGGTCACATACTAAATTCCTGTGAGAAATCCCAAGTCTCTCTCTAGGCCACAATGGATAGTTGTTGGCCATACATTAAAATCCAGAGTCTTTCTATAATTGGTATATAAATATAGCTAGATTAAGAAAACATATGAGTGGCTCTCCATTTATCATGATAATTTAATTCTTAAGATGACTAAAGTTCCCCCTAACTTTTACTAAAATTTGGAAACTTCCATGATTTAAACCAAGCAAACAAACAAGGAGTCTTGGATATACAGGGGAACAAGCAAGAGGCATAGAGTGCACCCTAGGGTCCTCTCCAAAACAGCGAAATCATCTCTTCATCACAGCCTCTGAAGCCCTGCATCTGATCTAATCAGCCTACTGCTCCAGTCTCATTCCACATGCGGCCCTTGGATTCTGAGGCACTAGTCTTTAAGAACTCTATCATTAGGCCGGGCGCGGTGGCTCAAGCCTGTAATCCCAGCACTTTGGGAGGCCGAGGCGGGTGGATCACGAGGTCAAGAGATCGAGACCATCCTGGTCAACATGGTGAAACCCCGTCTCTACTAAAAATACTAAAAATTAGCTGGGCATGGTGGCGTGTGCCTGTAATCTCAGCTACTCAGGAGGCTGAGGCAGGAGAATTGCCTGAACCCAGGAGGCGGAGGTTGCGGTGAGCCGAGATCGCGCCATTGCACTCCAGCCTGGGCAACAAGAGCGAAACTCCGTCTCAAAAAAAAAAAAAAAAAAAAAGAACTCTATCATTTCCTGGAATTCTCTAAACCTCTTCCTGCGCAGGCCATTCCCTTAGCCAGGAATGCTCCTACTCAGTGGCCTTCACATTGACATCTCAAATCTCACTTCCTTAGAGTAGCTGTCCATCATGTCCCCTGCTTTCAGAGAACTGCTTTTGTGCTCCATAGCACTTATGTATTTCAGAGAAACTACATCTCATCTTCATCATTATTTCATTAATATCTATGTTGCCCTACAGAGCTGTAAACCCCATGTCTGCATTTAGCCATAAATGAATCCAAAGTGCCTAGCGGTGGGTGCATAACTAAGAATTGCAGGCCGGGCGCGGTGGCTCAGCCTGTAATCCCAGCACTTTGGGAGGCCGAGGCGGGTGGATCACGAGGTCAAGAGATTGAGACGATCCCGGTCAACATGGTGAAACCCCATCTCTACTAAAAATACAAAAAATTAGCTGGGCATGGTGGCGTGTGCTTGTAATCCCAGCTACTCAGGAGGCTGAGGCAGGAGAATTGCCTGAACCCAGGAGGCGGAGGTTGCGGTGAGCCGAGATTGCGCCATTGCACTCCAACCTGGGGTAACAAGAGCGAAACTCCGTCTCAAAAAAAAAAAAAAAAAGAATTGCAGAATGACTCAAAGTATGACTATGCCATAGTTAAAGAGCAACAGAAGGAAATGCATTTGTTTGATTTTTCAAACAAATGGTCACAGCTTATTATCTGAGAATAAATACAAGCTGCATGGAATTTCTAGGCACATAAATTCTATTCCTTAAACAAGTAATATTAATAGAAATCAAGCAATAGTCAGATCATCGGGTTTCAAACAAATAAATAAATGAAGAGCCACAATGAGACACATCTAAGTGACATTTAAATTTTAATGAGGATTTAATTCGTATAATAATACAATCTAATATAGTCATGCACTGCATATCAATGTTTTGGTCAATGATGGACCACATATACAACAGTGGTTCCATAAGACTGTAAAGGTGCTTCTATGCTGTATTTTTGCTGTATCTTTCCTATAATTATTTTCCATCTAGATATTTGCATATCTGGAAATATGAAAGTATTCTCATCATTGTGTCACAACTGCCTACAGTATTCAGTATGGTCACCTGCTGTACAGGTTTGTAGCCTAGGAACTATAGGCTATGCCATTTAGCCTACATGTGTAGTAGGCTATACCATTTAAGTATATCTGAATACACTCTATAATACTTGCACAATGACAAAATCACCTAATGAGACACTTCTCAGAATGTATCCCCATCATTAGGTGATGCATGATTGCATTATGTCTAAGAGGCATATAAAATTTCTCTTTGAAAGCTAAGGTAAGAAATGTCACAATGTTCCTTATATCACTAGATTTGATTTTTTAAATTATGATAAAATAATTCTTCCTCATTTTCAGTCCGTCTTTCATGTTCTTCTACTTCTGTTACACTTTTACTGGATTTAGAAAAGGTATAATGATGATATCCTATCTCTTCATGGAATGATCAATATATAAAGAATTAATAAAATCTATTATCCCTTAATAAAAAGGCCCTCAGAGCTGGGCACAGTGGCTCATACCCGTAATCTCAGCACTTTGGGAGGCCAAGGCGGGTGGATCACCTGAGGTGGGAAGTTCAAGACCAGCCTGACCAATGTAGAGAAACCCTGTCTACTAAAAATACAAAAAAATTAGCCAGATGTGGTGGCACATGCCTGTAATCCCAGCTATTTGGGAGGTTGAGGCTGGAAAATCGATTGAACCCAGGAGGCGGAGGTTGTAGTGAGCCGAGATCGCACCATTGTACTCCAGTCTGGGCACCAAGAGTGAAATTCCATCTCAAAAAAATTTTAAAAAATTAAAAATAAAATAAAAGGGCCCTCCGGATAAGTGCTTTCACCAGACCTTCAGATCAAACTAGGTATTACATTTAAGAGACTCTAAGTTTACCTTAGGACATGTGGGGTTTCTTGCTGTTTCAATCATCAGTGCAGATCCCATCCTATCCCTTTATTAAAGGAGAAAAAACAAGTTATACCAAAATTATTTTATCTCCTAACAACCAGGACACATACAGTATGCAACTACTGTTTGTCCATGGCTTTGTCAAAGTGCTATGAGGGGAAAAATACAAGACTCTCCTGTAGGAGGCTTATAATCCAATTAATGCACATGAAACAACAGGCAGTTATTTATTAATCTCTGGTTCAAATTTCAAGTGTCTATAGTTCTGAGGTGGAGCAACCAATACAGCGTGCAGTAACTGGAAAAGATGCATGAAGGTAGCTTGAGGAAGATACTGAAAGACTGCAAGGTAACATATTTAAAGTACATGTCCCAACATACAGATTAAAGGCACAAAGGCAAAACAAATCTGTTGTTCTCAGGGTCCTGCCAATAAGATAAAGGAGCTGTGATGAAATAAGACTGCAGAAGTATGCATGGACTAGAGTAATCAGGTCAGGACAATGAGATTTTAAGCTTGTCTTAGTTGGTAACAGCCAATGTTATCAAGAAAACTGCTTTTAAAATCATCAGAGCTGGCATTTCATTTACTATGGCATTACAGAAATTGTCCTTGGGCAGCAATTTTTGCAATTCCATAATAAGACAATTTTATTTCAGTGGAGCCTTTTCCAGATACAAAAATTATATATTGTTTTCCTATATTAAATATAAAGACTAGGGTTTCACCAATCTTCCTCATGAGTAAAACTACTTTCAAATGTTTTTCAAACAATACTCATGTTTCTCAACTAGGTTATTAGTGAATTTCACCGAAGAATATTTACAAACTGTTTAGTGATCTACCCTTTATAAGCTTTCGTAAATACAAATGTAAAATACTTTCCAAAATGGACCCAACCTGATCTATACATGTCTACCACATAAAAAGCAATGCAATTTCACCTTTCTAAGGTTATCTTTTCATAGAATTCTAACTGTAAAATTACAACAGAAATCCTGGTTCATAGAAATATGAACTTTTTAGGCAAAGTTCATATTTATTTATTCTTATTTTTGTTTAAATCTTGATTTTATCAAAAGCTATCATGCTTTTAGTGAATTAACTTATGAATATAAATTTGTAAAGAAGTAAAGGTAATTGTTTATTTCTTTTTTTTTTTTTTTTTTTTTTTTCCGAGACGGAGTTTCGCTCTTGTTACCCAGGCTGGAGTGCAATGGCGCGATCTCGGCTCACCGCAACCTCCGGCTCCTGGGCTCAGGCAATTCTCCTGTCTCAGCCTCCTAAGTAGCGGGGATTACAGGCACGCGCCACCACGCCCAGCTAGTTTTTTTTTTTTTTTGTATTTTTAGTAGAGACGGGGTTTCACCATGTTGACCAGGATGGTCTCGATCTCTCGACCTCGTGATCCACCCGCCTCGGCCTCCCAAAGTGCTGGGATTACAGGCTTGAGCCACCGCGCCCGGCAATTGTTTATTTCTGAGTGATGTCAAAATATGAAAAAAAAATCTACATTCGTAGATTCTACTGATGCTATAAAATAGTGCCCTTAAAATAACACAAAATTATCACAGAAAAAAACATAAAAGTACTCTCTATAAAAAATGAAAGGAAAAAATATGACAAAAAAGACCAGAAGGTAGGAATGGTAGAATTTTAACAATAATGGCACCCAGTGAATCACAGTCCTAGTATCCATATTGTTGTATATAGTCTCTTCCTACACAGACTTTTGGTTGGTGTGGCTTTCGTCCATGTAACCTCAGCCAACATGTCATTAAACTGAGGCTTCATAAACGCTTATGCACAGGGGCTTGCCCTCTGGGAACTCTGAAACTGCAATGATGAGGCAAAAGTTTGGATAAGAATGAGCAAACTTGGTGGAGAGAGAGACTTTCCAGGACCATTAGCTGAGCCACCAAGTGAAAGAACAGAAAAAACACCCAGTCAAACCACAGAATCATGAGACTAAGTCAGTACTGTTTAAAGCCATTATGTTTTGGAGTAGCTTGTTATACAGCAAAGGCTAAGTGAAAAAGCAGAGCAAGGAAAAATAACTAACTATACTGATAAAATTTAACAATACTATGATTAAAAATGAAGTTTCTAGAAGAGCACAAATGAGACAGCAATACACAAATATGCAAAGATACTCTCATAAGTAACAAAAGGAAAAAAATTTCATAGAAGATAATCTGGTTTTAGAGTAAATTTTTAAATTTTCATAATCTTAATAAAAAAGTACTGATTTTATGAATCCTGGGAATAGATATGAATTATATTTTGTAACTGACACAAAAGATGTGAAAATAAGTAACATACAATGATAGCAGATGGGAAGATTTCACAGCTGGAAAGATGTCAATGTTCTGCAAAACAACTGATACATTTCATGTAATTTTCATCCAAATATCAGTGGTATTTTTTTAAATGTGACAAAAGTAGCCTAAGATTAACTCTGAATATTAAATGAAAATTGCGTAAAAGAAGAATAAGGAGGAAAGATTAGCTATGTTGTCTCATTATAAAAATACTATGCAAAGGTTCAACAACTAAATTTACAGAATTTGTATAAAAATAAATCCATAGAAAAACCAAAAAAATTGAACATAGATTCTAATACAGGTAAGAATTTAAAATATGATAAAGATAATGTTTCAAATCAGTTAAAAAAAAACACTTGGTAATGGAGCTGCGACATTTGGATTAACATTTGATAGAAAAAGAAAGCTTGATTCTGTTACCACGTATATCAAAGTAAGTTTTAGATAAATTAAGAATTACAGCCGGGCGCGGTGGCTCAAGCCTGTAATCCCAGCACTTTGGGAGGCCGAGGCGGGTGGATCACGAGGTCGAGAGATCGAGACCATCCTGGTCAACATGGTGAAACCCCGTCTCTACTAAAAGTGCAAAAAATTAGCTGGGCATGGTGGCACGTGCCTGTAATCCCAGCTACTCAGGAGGCTGAGGCAGGAGAATTGCCTGAGCCCAGGAGGCGGAGGTTGCGGTGAGCCGAGATCGCGCCATTGCACTGCAGCCTGGGTAACAAGGGCGAACTCCGTCTCAAAAAAAAAAAAAAGAATTACATATAAACTGAAAACTTCAGGACTAGGAAATAATATAAATATTTACCTACTTTCAGAGTAGGAAAGACTTATTTATTTTTAAATTTAAACTTTTATTATGGATTAAAGAGTATGCACACAGGTTTGTTACATGGGTAAATTGTTTGTCACTGAGGCTTGGGGTCCCAACAATCCTATCACGCAGGCAGTGAGCATAGTACCAACAAGTGGTTCTTCAGCTCACACTCCCATTCTCCCTGCCACCTAATGGTCCCAAACATCAATTGTTCCCAACTATATGTTCATGTAAATTCAATGTTAAATTCTCACTTATAAGTAAGAACATGGGGTATTTAGTTTTATGTTCTTGTATTAGGTTGCTTACGATAATGGACTCCAGCTCCAACCATGTTGCTGCAAAGGACATAGTTTATTTTTTTATAGCTGCATAGTATTCCACAATGTATAATGTACCATATTTTCTTTATTCAATCCACTGTTGATGGGCACCTAGGTTGATTCCATGTATCTGCCATTGTGAATAGTGCTATGATAAACATACAAGTACACGTATCTCTTTGATAGAATGAATTATTTTCCTTTGGGTATATACCCAGTAGTAGGATTGTAGAAAAGACTCACAAACATAAAAGTTAAAAATCATTAAAGGAAAAGATTTGGCTAAATAAAGATGTTTCAATACTCTACATTAAAAAATTATTAATTAGAAAGCACTTTTTCAATATATGATTAATATATTTACAATACATAATAGGCAAAAATTATGCCCTCAAAATTCACCAAAAAAACACAATAAAAAAGCATCAGAACCAAAACCTTTTTTAAGTTCAAGTTCGTCAATAATGAAAGTGATAGAAATTGAAACATGTGTTTCAGAATCTCTCAAACTGATGTCATTTTAAACATTAAGCACCTGGTGTTCACAAGTATTTTATGAAACAGAAATACAATCTGACGTTGGCAGATGAGTAAGCTAAAACGACTGCACTGAAGAACAAATTCAGCTACTTATGCCTCAAGATTCTTAAAACATAGATATCCTCTGCCACAATTTTACTTCTAGAAATTTACCTTAAAGATACAGAGATTTAAGTAGAGATGTAAGATGTTTATCTAAATTTTATTTTGAACTGCAAAAGTATCTGAAGTATCCTTTTCTAAAAGAGGATTTGTTAAACAAAAAATAGTACATCCGGCCGGGCGTGGTGGCTCACGCCTGTAATCCCAGCACTTTGGGAGGCCGAGGCAGGTGGATCACGAGGTCAAGAGATCGAGACCATCCTGGTCAACATGGTGAAACCCCTTCTCTACCAAAAACACAAAACATTAGCTGGGCATGGTGGCATGTGCCTGTAATCCCAGCTCCTCAGGAGGCTGAGGCAGGAGAATTGCCTGAACCCAGGAGGCGGAGGTTGCGGTGAGCCGAGATCGTGCCATTACACTCCAGCCTGGGTAACAAAAGCGAAACTCCGTCTCAAAAAAAAAAAAAAAAAAAAAAAAAAAAAGTACATCCATAAAATGGTGAAGAACCATTAATGTATGCATCAAAAAATATTAAATAACATAGGAAATCATCTGTGACAAAATGCTAAGTGAAAACGCATGAAACAAAACTGCATGTGCATTATCTCAATTTTGTAAAAAGGATGGATACACATGCACTCACAACTACACACATATACAGTTGTCTATCTGTAAGAAATCACAGAAAAAAATACATCACCATGTTAACAGTGCTTTAGTTTAGTGGGATTATAAATTATTTTTATTCTTTTCTTGATATATTTTCTATTTCCCATATTATGATTATTTTAATAAGACATCAACATTGGACCGAATAAATATGCTTCTTATATAGTGACCTACTGATATATTCTGAAATGTGAGAAGAAATTCAAAGTTTTCTACAACAGCATTGTTCATAATCCCAAAAAGTTAGGAACATAAATGTCCTAAATGTCCATAAAAATCCTAAATGGACAGGCCGGGCACGGTGGCTCAAGCCTGTAATCCCAGCACTTTGGGAGGCCAAGGCGGATGGATCACGAGGTCGAGAGATCGAGACCATCTTGGTCAACATGGTGAAACCCTGTCTCTACTAAAAACACTAAAAATCAGCTGGGCATGGTGGCGCGTGCCTGTAATCCCAGCTACTCAGGAGGCTGAGGCAGGAGAATTGCTTGAACCCAGGAGGCGGAGGTTGCGGTGAGCCGAGATCGTGCCATTACACTCCAGCCTGGGTAACAAGAGCGAAACTCCGTCTCAAAAAAAAAAAAAAAAAAAAAAAAAAAAAAAAATCCTAAATGTAAATGATTATGAAAATGGTAACACTCTGGAGTATAGTGTAGTCTTTCCAAATATGTCATGAGATTTTAATAACGTTTGAAAAAAGAAAAATGATACAAATTTGCAACTACAATCTAATCTCAGCTATACAAAATGTACAGTCTAGTAAAACACTAGAAGGAAATATATTAAAGTCTACAGCTCTGAATAACAGAATTATGGGTGAAGTTATGCTTATATTTTATGCTTATATACACTTTGGGAGGCTGAGGCAGGCAGATCACTTGAGGTTAGGAGTTCAAGACCAGCCAGAGCAACATCGAGAAATCCTGTCTCTACTGAAAAAAAAAAAAATAGAATTAGCTGGTCATGGCGGTGAGCAAGTGTGGTCCCAGCTACTTGGGAGGCTGAGGGAGAAGATCACTTCAGCCTAGGAAGTTGAGGTTGCAGTGAGCCAAGATAGCACCACAGTACTCCTGGGCAAAATGAGTGAGACCGTCTGTCAAAAAATAAATAAAAAATAATAATTGACTGTTTTAGAATGACTTGAGACACATTTAATATGCTAAGTAAAAACAATAGGATGCAAATATCTCATATTTTTTAAAAAGGCAGTTGTAACTTGTACATGCAAATCTCACACACATGAACCCTCCAAAATAATTACTAAACTATGATTCACCAAAATACTAAGTTGTTATCTCTAATTAGCTAAAAAGTTAATATTCTTGGTATTTTTCAAATTATAATATGTACATATTACCTATATAATCAGAACATTTAAGAAGAGTAATTGTAACTTACTTAAGAATGTTTTCCCATGTTTGACTGTCATAAAATGCATGGCTCCAACTCATTTTGACTGTTCCAACAATGACATTTTGTGAAAATACATCTGATCCCAATTTTCGATAAAGTTCCTCACATTCATCCAAGGGCATATGAAACAACCCCAACATGAAAGCTAATATGGCACCTGAAAAAAAGAATCCTTAGTTTTCATCAGCGTTAATGTTATATCCCTTATGATGATAATATCTCCTGAATCATAGTTTTGGCTTAAATTTTAGCTTTGATACTTTCTAGCTACATGACCCAGGACAAAGATAAATAACTTTCCTTCTCAGAGACCTATTTTTTTAGCTATAAAATGGGAGTAATAAGAACAACCAAAATTCATGTCTTTTGTACTGGGTTAACAAATGTAAAGGGATTTACCAGGTCTCAAAAAGGATTAAATAAACATTACCCCAATAATGATAATAATAATTTAAAAAATATATAAATGTGTTGTTTTATATTAAATTATATATAAGATACTATTGTAGATAATACATGTTCTTTCTAATATCAATAAATTACTTAGTTTTAGTCATGGAATATGGTATATCTGGCAACTGACCAAGTCATTAAACAATTCTCCTTCAGGTTAATCATAGGAACAAATGCAATTAAAGATAGTAGGTACTCTTGGATGTCCTTTTAAATAGTAGATTTCGAATCTAGCTGTAATTGGTAGAACACACCGCCACCTAGTGTCCCTAACTGGCCTAACCATGAACAAAAGAGAAGGGAGTTTTGAGAAAGTTTTCGGGCATGGAGAAAAGGCTGGAGGAGGCAAAGGACTATGGTCTTAAACATACGTGCTTACTTTTCTCTTCCTCAATGCATTGCCAGAATGCACCACTTCCATACAGTAATAATTACCTGTACTAACACCACAAATGTAATCAAAGAGCTGATGAACTGGCTTCTGAGTAAGTTCAACTAATTTTCGTAGGGTCTGGAGAGCAACCACGCCCCTGTAGAAAAGATTAAAAGCAAAATGAGAATTCCTCTTTCAGGAAAAATTAATTTAACCTGTTGAATAAAACAATCTAAGAACTGCTTTTGTAGTTTATATACTAACATGAAAATTAATAAATCAGAATCAGTAAAAATTGCCTGATTGAATTTTTAGTATTACTTTTTAAAATCCATTATCTAAATGATATAAAACCTATACTATAGCAGCATATTATAAAATTTACATTAGTATCTTTCTCTTGTTTTTTCACTGAACCCCTCCTTCCGTAGAACACTATCTCTTTAAATAAGAATAAATCTGGCCAGGCACAGTGGCTTATGCCTGTAATCCCTGTGTTTTGGGAAACTGAGGTAGGAGGATCACTTGAGGCCAGGAGTTCAAGACCACCTGAGCAACATAGCGAGACTCCATTTCTACAGAAAAAAATATATATATAAAAAGAAGAAATCTGCCTGAATATAATTCTTAAGAATGCCAAAAACAAACAACTACGTAAGAATACAAACATAGGCCAATATAAGACTAAAAAAAAACACAAAAAAACTCCTCTAGAAAACACTTAAAACTCACTTAATGGTGTTGGGATGCCGTACCTTAGTTTCTCATCTTACCTATATAGTTGGTTACCTATGCCTCTATACATTTGTGTCTTATATATTTCACCAGTCAGATTTTTTTTTTGTCTTTTTGTTTTTTTCCTTTTTGTGGAGAACGGGGTCTCGCTATATTGCCCAGGCAGGTCTCGAACTCCTGGGCTCAAGCTATCCTCCCGCCTCTGCCTCCCTAAGAGCTGGGATTACAGGCGTGAGCCACAGCGCCCGGCACCAGTCAGATTTTTAAGCTTTCTTTTCTTCATTCATTTTTAAAAACTTTCAATAACCTTAGGATAATACTCTATATTAATGGTGTATTAATTAATGTTGCTGCCTTTTCTCATTTCCGAATCCTTGCCAACAGCAGTTAATAGGAATGTGAAAAGATGAAAAAGCTTAGGAGATATAGACCAACTGAGGGTACATGTATCATGTAAACTGTCATGTGTGTATCATGATAATTTTTAACACTGGGAGAATACAAAAAAATGGTGAAAAACTCTATTCCCAACACAAATTAGAGAGTAGGTAAGTCCTGGAACACAAAGGTAGTTAGGCACCAAAAAATTTGGAGTGTCAATTGTTCCTTGATACTGTTAACAGAAAGTAACAGAAAATTCTGTAAGATTAAAGTAGAACACCAAAGATGCTGATTTTTTAAATACAACAAATAATGTGGATTTGAGGAGAGTTAAGAAGATGTCTTATGAAAGAGAAACAGTTAATTCAAGGCAAAACATGAAGAATTAAATATAATGCTAGATGAAATATATTTAACAATGTGACCTCTATTATCTACAAAAAAGAAAAAACAGGCACATATATATTCACACTGAAAAAGATTCGAAGAAAATAAATCAAAATACTAAAATAATCTGAAGAGTTGTGAGCTATGGTTTTGGTTTTTTTTTCCTCTCTCAGGTTTTTCTAACTACTTGTATCATTGGAAAAAATAACTATTTAAAATGTTGTATTCATAAATTCAGAATAAATTTAAATACATAAATATTTGCAAGGTTGCCACAGCTGTCTATGCCTAACCACTGTACCCTTATACCAAAGAAATAAAAGACAGCATTTTTTTTCCTCTCTCAGTCCCTCATACATTACTGCTTTCCACACAAACCTCCCATTCTGGCTGCTTTCTCATATTTCCCTAAACCAAATTTTCTCACCACCAGCATTACTGACATTGTGGGTTGGATAATCTCTGTTTTGCGGGGCTGTCCTGTGCACTGTATAATGTTTAGTCACAACTGTCCTCTTCAAATGAGATCAAAGTGATACTAAAAATGTCTCCAGACACTGTCAAATGTCCTTTATGGGGCAAAATCACCTCCAGTGGAGAATTACTAATCTAAACCTAACTTCATCCTAACCCGCTCCTAGATTTTCCCAAATTACCTCACACTGATTTCCTCCCTATATGACTAATACAACTCTCATTCTACAAAATAAACTATTTATTAGATACAAACTTCTTTTTCATCATGCTTGTCTGACCTTAAACAGACATCTGAATATTCTTTAATTTTCCTACTTCTTTCCTGTCTCTTAATAAATATAACTTCTTTAAAAAGAAGTCATGGTCATAAGCATTCTTTAAAGTAGTACTATTCCTCTCTATTCCTTTAGTTTGCGTTGCTTTATATTTCTTCATAGCACCCGGAATAACGTATTTTTGTTTCTCTATTTGTTGTCTTTTTCCTTCTCTACAATGCAAACACCATAAAGACTCGGGCTGTTTTGTTTGCTCACTGTCCCCAGGATCTAAATCAGTGCTAACAACAGAGTAGGCACCCAATATTTGTTAGATGACTCAATGAATGGCACTGTCCCAACTCCCCTGAACTTAATGGCAGAGGGGATTCCTTCTGCTCCTTAGTGAAATGCTCCTACTCATTTAACTGGTGATTTCCCCTATTTCTCACCATTTGGAACCAATTCAGTGAACCAGAATAATCTCTCCAGTTATCGCTTTATCTATATCACATGAATGACATACACCTTAAGATTATTACACTTTCCTAAGAAACATCTACCAAGATCTTTTATTTTTCTCTCTTCAGTGGGCTTTTCTTTGCCAACTGAGAACTTCTATATGGATGTATACGAACTTGCATTAAACATGTTCAAGAAAGAACTGTCTTTCCTCAACCTCAGTCTGTTGAGATTCCCTGTAATTTTTTCCCAGACACACAGAGGTTAACACTTAGGGTAATCCTGACCTATGTCTACTATATCCTATTATCCATGTTTCTTAAAAGTTACTGGTATTGGCTGGGCATGGTGGCTCACATCTGTAATCCCAGCACTTTGGGAGGCTGAGGCAGGTAGATCACCTGAGGTCAGGAGCTTGAGACCAGCCTGGCCACCATGTTGAAACCCAGTCTCTACTAAAAATACAAAATTAGCCAGGCACTGTAGTACATGTCTTAATACCAGCTACTCAGCAGGCTGTGGCAGGAGAATTGCTTGAACCTGGGAGGCAGAGGTTGCAGTGACCCGAGATTGCGTCATTGCACTCCAGCCTGGGCAACAAGAGCAAAACTTCATCTCAAAAAAAAAAAAAAAAAAAAGTTAGTGGTATGTTTATCCTTCCTCCCACTTTCCACTGCCACCAGCTGAGGTTAGCTTCCTACTCTCATTACTTACTCCTTCCTTCATATTGATGTCAAAGTATAAAGGACTAGGGTGAATACAGGATGAAGGAATTTAACAAAAAGATACAGGGTAGTACTTGAACATACTGAAGAGTGATCAGCAAGCTGGGTATACCAAAAAGCAAAATCAGAGAGGTAAGTTAAAGCTAAGAACAATAGGCAGGGCATGTACTATGAATTATGAGGTAACAGTGGAGATGGCAGAGAACTAGAGCACCAGCTAGAAGATTTTAGGGAAAAGGTTTGAAAACCCAAGCCAAAAAAATCTAACCAACAAGTTGCAATGAACAGGATAAACAAAGACTAAGAAGCATGGATGGATTGCCAGTAGTAAAAATGGAGCTTTTTAAAAAAATAGTGAAATTATCTCCTTTTGAACAAAGCATAAATTTACTTCTTACATAGGACCAGAACTGGCATCTGCAAGTAGAGACATTAGGAGTCAGGAAGTTAATATAGCATCATTTCGTAACCATCACTTTATCAGGTGACTAGTAGATAAATATGGGTAAGATTAAGTGTAATAAAAGAAAACTGGCCGAGCATGGTGGCTCATACCTGTAATCTCAGTACTTTGGGAGGCTGAGGCAGGTGGTTTATCTGGGGTCAGGAGTTTATGATCAGCCTGGACAACATGATGAAACCCCGTAACTACTAAAAATTAAAAAAAAAATTAGCCAGGCATGATGGCAGATGCCTGTAATCCCAGCTACTCAAGAGGCTGAGGCAGGAGAATCTCTTAATCTCGGGAGGCGGAGGTTGCAGTGATCTGAGATCACGCCACTGCACTCCAGCCTGGGTGACAGAAAAAGACTCTGTCTCCAAAAAAATACAATAAAATAATAAAAGAAAGCTAAAATTATAAAACACTATCAAGATTTTATGAGAATAATGGTTGATAAGCTTCTAAACCACCAAAAAGGTCTAAAAAGGCCAAATATAAAAATATAAATTCTAAAAGCAAATCAAATCAAAGACATAAATACTAAATCAAACCAAAATAGGAGTATTTGAAGTATATGTTAGAGTAGCACTCAGATTGATAAAGTATTAAAACAATTTTACGTTTTATTTAAAAATTTTCATTTTATAATGACATAATTCTACCAAATCAGGTTTTTTTTTTGTTTAATCCCTAATGCTAAATTGAATGTGTAGTTTTTAAAAAATCATCACATCTGTAATGCCAGCAGTTTGGGAAGCTGAGGTGGGCAGATCACCTAAGGTCAGGAGTTTGAGACTAGCCTGGCTAACATGGTGAAACCCTGTCTCTACTAAAAACTACAAAAATTAGCAGGGTGTGGTGGCAGGCACCTGTAATGCTAGCTACTCAGGAAGCTAAAGCAGGAGAATCACTTGATCCTGGGAGGCAGAGGTTGCAGTGCGTCAACATCACTGCACTGCATTCCAACCTGGGCAACAGAGGGAAACTCCATCTTAGGAAAAACAAACAAAAAAAAGAAGCATGTTCCTAGCCTTACCTTGTTCCTCCACCATCAATTGTGAGAATTCGGATTCCTCTCCCTTTCACTGGATCCACGTAGCCAATTAAGGCCAAAATTTCTCTAACTGCAGCCTGAAGAGTTTCATCCTTAATTTGTCTCAGTCGTAATAAATATGGAATAATTTTTTCCTATATTGAGAGAAAAGACATTTTGTTGCTTTTGTCAAATCGAGTGAAAATGTATGATTATTATTAACCAATACATGCAGTTCATCATATGACAAGGCGACAGTGTTCATTACTTTCTCAGTAATCTTATTAGATTAGTTTTCGATATATTAATGTCAATGATCTAGATTATATTTGTTCTAATATTGAGGACAAAAACTAACCTCTATTCAAATATTTTCATTAAAAGGTGTAATACTTAACAACTAGAGGAAATATAATTTGCTTGATTTAGAAATTTACGAAGTATAAATTGTTACAACGAAAGGTTAACATTATAAATTTTGTTTAATATTTTATCTAAATCCTGTGGTTAAGAAGCTAAAACTCATTCATGGTAATTACCAGAAGTTAAACTGTGATTAAAAAGCAATAATGAACAGTCTTCTATATATTCCACATGGGATCCAAGGATACCTCATAAGGGAATAGGAACAAATGTTACCAAATGAAACTGAAGAAAGAAGGTACAAGCAGGCCACTACCATTAAATAATTAGTTTAAATAAACCTGAGACTTCAAGATTCTAAGCACTCAACATCATATTGTTGATCATAGACAAGAACTTAAATCCTAGAGTTCTATGTTGCTTACCAAAGATTCTCCAGATTCTGTGCACAGAAGCATCTTACATAGTCAGTACTTCAGGCTTAATGGAATGGCTGAGTGACAGCTATAATTCTGCTGTGTAACCTTCGGTAAATCAAATAATCTTTCTAGTTATCACTCATTTTGTTTCTTTTTTATGATCAATCAATCTGAAATATTCTAAATTTTTTCTCAATATTTTCCCCTACTGCTGAGCTGTAAGGCCCCACTAAGAGGAACTTGAACAATGGTGCAGAATAATGCAAATTTCCATATCCAGTTAGGATGAAACACTATGTTAGAGATCAACACTCACTTCAAGAACAAGAAAAGCATAATTAAATGCAAGAAAAGTACCATCTGTTTAAAGGCATCAGACAGAGAGCTGCTGAAGCAACAAGAACAGGTGGAGCCAAGAATCTGGGGAAGGATATAAACTGCTAGAAATGAGCTGATAAATTAGAGCTTTTCTTCCCTTGAGGCATTGACCAATTCGAGGAAAAAGTAAAGGACCAAAAAAGTGAGTCTGGCTCAGACACAGGGTCCCAAATAAAGGGCAGAGAAACTAGCCGATCATTTAGTGTTTTATGGGTATGGAGTGAAAAAAGTGGAAGACCCGAAGGACTTCAAACACATGGCTGGCTTTACCTCAAGACATTGGCTGAATTCTAAAATCATGAGGTGTGGAAGGTGAAAGGTAAGCTGAAGACCTCTGAAAGCAGAGTGGAAAGCTCTGTATTCTTGAGATTTTAGGACTCGATGAGGTGGTCATTAAGTGAACACACCAGGCTCTCAACTGAAAGTCCTGGAAGAATATGCCCTAAAAAGAGGGCAAACTAGAGGTCTCACCCAAAGTGTAACACAGCCTTGATCCAGATTTGACCCTAGTTGAATTAAGACTATCAGTGCTCCACTCATATGCCAAACAGAAGAACAAATAAACTCTGGAAAAAGATATAATTTGATATAATCCAGAGCCTATGCAATTTTTTAAATTTATAGTATCTAGCACCCAGAAAAATTATAATGCATATGAATCCAGTACTGAATGACCAAATACAAAGAATTGATGCTCATATTAGAATTACTACAAAAAGACGTTAAAATAAAAACAACCAAATAAAATTATCATCAAAATATGTCAGATACCTATGAATCAGTTTAATAAAATCATTCCAGTGGAAGATGTGCAAGACACCTACAGTGAAAATTTTTAAAACAATGAAAGAAAATAAAGATGACCCAAATAACTGAAAAACTGTGTCATATGTCATGGCTTGGAAACTCAACAGAGACCCAATTTACCCTAAGTTATTCCACATATTCATTGCAATCTCACCATGTTTTTCTCGTCTTTAAATTTTTTTGTAGATAAGCTGAATATAAAATTCATATGGAAATATAACATGTCAAGAATAGCTAAGCCAACAATATTAAGAGGAAGAACAAGGTTAGTATATTGATACTACCTGATACTAAGTTGATAAAGTTGCAAAAATTTAGGCAGTGCACTATTAGAGCAAGAATAGACAAATATACCAGTGGAATAAAATACTGTGTCTGGCCAGGCATGGTGGCTCACGCCTCTAATCCCAGCACTTTGGGAGGTCGAGGTGGGCAGATCACCTGAGGTGGGGAGTTTGAGACTTGCCTGACCAACAAGGAGAAACTCCATCTCTACTAAAAATACAAAATTAGCCAGGCATGGTGGTGCATGCCTGTAATCCAAGCTACTTGGGAGGCTGAAGCAGGAGAACTGCTTGAATCTGGGAGGTGGAGGTGGAGGTGAGCTGAGATCACGTCACTGCACTCCAGCCTGGGCAATAAGAGCAAAATTCAGTCTAAAAAAAAACAAAAAAACAAAAAAAAAAAAAACTGTGTCTAGAAACAGATCCATATATATATATATATATATATATATATATATATATATATATATATACACACACATCTCATTTATATGCCTCATTTATGATAAAGGTCTTTGCAATAAATGGTGCTGAGTCAACTGGATAAGTGTATTATTTAAGAGTCAGGACTTCTGCCTCACACCACACAATCAAATCTATTCTAGACAAATAGTACATTTAAGAGTGAAAGGCAAAGCAAGGTTTCAGAAGAAAACACAGAATTTTTTTTTTTTTTGAGACAGAGTCTCGTTCTGTCGCCAGGTTGGAGTGCAGTGGTATGATCTGAGCTCACTGCAACCTCTGCCTCCTGGGTTCAAGTGATTCTCCAGCCTCAGTCTCCTGAGTAGCAGGGATTACAGGTGCATACCACTACACCCAGCTAATTTTTGTATTTTTAGTATTGACAGGGTTTCACCACATTGGCCAGGACGGTCTTGATCTCTTGACCTTGTGATCCGCCTGCCTTGGCCTCCCAAAGTGCTGGGATTATAGGCGTGAGCCACCACGCCCAGCGGAAAATATTTTTATCACTTTAGGATAAGCAAAGATTTCTTAAACGGGACACAAAGTACTAACCATAAAGAAAAGGATTTATAAATTAGACAATATTAATAACATCTGTTCATCAGAAAAACCACGAGAGTGAAAAAGTAAGCCACAGAATAGGAGAACATTATTTGTAAGACATACACGTATATACCACACATGTAACAAGTGACTTACAGACTATATATATATATATATATATATAATTTGAGACAGAGTTTCGCTCTTGTTGCCCAGGCTGGAGTGCAATGGCGTGATCTCAGCTCACTGCAAACTCTGCCTCTCAGGTTCAAGCAATTCTCCTGCATCAGCCTCCCAAGTAACTGGGACTACAGGCACACGTGACCAAACCCAACTAATTTTTGTATTTTTTCAGTAGAGACGGGGTTTCACCGTTGACCAGGATGGTTTCGATGACCTCGTGATCTGCCTGCCTTGGCCTCCTAAAGTGTTGGGAGTGAGTCACCACGCCAGGCCCAGACATAATATATTTTTAAAATTCTACAAATAATGAAGAAAAACCTGGCCAACCCAATGGAAAAATAGGCAAGATCTAGAATAGAAACTTCATAAAGATGTATAACCACGGCAAATAAACCCTGGAAAAGATGCTGAATGTCAAAGCTATCAATAAAATAAAAATAAAAAAATTAAAACCACAATATAATATCACTTAACACCCAACAAAATTGCTCAAATCAAAAAGATTTTAAAAGGCCGGTGTGGTGGCTCATGCCTGTAATACCAACACTTTGGGAGGCCGAGGCAGGCAGATTATCTGAGGTCAGGCGTTCGAGACTAGCCTGGCCAACATGGTGAAACCCCATCTCTACTAAAAATAACAAAAATTAGGACAGGTACGGTGGCTCACGACTAATCCCAGCACTTTGGGAGGCCGAGGCAGATGGATCACCTAACATTAGGAGCTTGAGACCAGCCAGGCCAACATGGTGAAACCCTGTCTCTATTAAAAATAGAAAAATTAGCTGGGCATGGTGGCACATGCCTGTAGTCTCAGCTACTCAGGAGGCTAAGGCAGGAGAATCGCTTGAACCAGGGTGGCAGGGGTTGCAGTGAGCCAAGATGGCGCCACTGCATTTCAGTCTGGGCAACAGAGCAAGACTCCATCTCAAAAAAAAAAAAAATTAGCAGGGCATGGTGGCAGGCACCTGTAATCCCAGCTACTGGGGAGGCTGAGGCAGGAGAACTGCTTGAACCCAGGAGGTGGAGGTTGCAGCAAGCCAAGATAGTACCACTGTACTCCAGCCTAAATGACAAAGACACTCAATCTCAAAAAAAGATTACAAAATAAAGTGTTGGAGGGAAAGCAGAACACAGAAGATTCATACACTTCTGGTGAAAGTATAAATTGACACAAGCACTATGCAAAACCATTTGGCAGTAAGCACTAATGATGCAAATATGCTCACTCTGTGAGCAGCAATAGTACTCTTAGGTATATACTCCAAAGAAACGAAGACATATGTTTTCCAAAAGATACAACCCCGAAGTACTATTCCTAAATATTCCCAGACGCAAACCATCCAAATGTCTAGCAGAAGGAAAAATGAAAACTATACCCAGCAATATGGAAGGTTCTCACAAACATAATATTGAGTGAAAAAAAAGACATAAAAGAACACGTGATGCGTCATTCATATAACATGCAAAAAGAGGCACAACTAAGAATTATGCTGACAGAATTCTGAAAAACTGATGAACTTTTTTGGGGACAGTGTCTGGAGTGTTCGTAAGATTATTTCTCATTCAGGGTGGTGGTTGTATGTATTCCATGTGTGAAAAATCATGGAACTGTAAACTTATGATTTGTATAGTTTTCTATATATAATATTATAAAAGTGTTTAAAAAAATACTATTAAATGACATAAGCCATGTAATAGGGTTTTTGTTTGTTT